TATGGGTAATGCTACATGTACACACACACTTTTACACAATCTTTTACACCTCTCTCACATGAAGGGGGGTCCACGATTATTTTATTATGTGTGGGCCCCCTTCCATGTGAGAGAGGTGTAAAAGATTGTGTAAAAAATTGTGTACACTTAGCATTATTCGAAATTTAAAGGGTTAATTGCATTCATGTCCATAGCTTTTCCAGTTTTAATCCCGCCAGCACCAAGATCACTTCCAGCCACCGCTGGAAATTACTAACTGAGCAAAATGAAAAAAATTCAGTTGAGGGCCCAAGAGACTCGATTTGGTATATTATCGACGGGTGTTTTGAAAGCTCTGCATTCGAATAGTTGACTTTTCGAGGTCTTCTTTCTCGAAATTTTGAGCTTAATGTTACTTTCGTCACTGAACTTTACAAATTGTTTTAGTCAAACCACCATGTCAAGCTAGTGTCTATTTTTATACATAAAAATCTACGTTGACTGTCATGACGAAATAGGATTTTCCAATATATAATAGTGCCAAATCTACTTTGTAAAGTTGCACGATAAGTCTAAAGCAAAATAATATGTTTTTTTCATTGGATTTTGTGATACTAATATTCTAGCAACGTTATATTATTTATGTCTTATATTATTGATGTCGATACGAATGTCATATTATCTACATTATTTCTAATTATCGATAGCTATTATCGACTATGATACATTATAGGCTCTCTATATTGTATCTTAGAGAAGCTTGATTTGCTATTTTTCACGTTATCATCGTGAGTATTTGAAGGAATCAAATGGGGCCCAAATTATTTTGTATATGTGTTGTGGAGATATTGTATTTTATTTCATGTTTTTTTTAGTCCATATTATAGAGGCAATGCCGTGGAAATTTCGATAAATTATATGCTTAACTATCTTTCGAGACAATTTGTAAGTTCTCGCTTAATCAGACTCGCACATATATTTTTAAGACAGTTCGTAAGTCCTTACTTATTAAAGCGGCTTATATTCTCAAGGCAATTCGTGAGTCCTCACCTATTTGAGATCGATGTATATTTTTGCAGCAGTTTGCAAGTCCTCACTTATTAG